GTATGATATAATGACTTCTCAATATCAATGTCAATCATCAGGAAATAATGGAGGAGGAGGAATATGGCTCATACTAGGAGTAACCACAGCAATAGCAATAACTTTAGTCATAATTTTAGTTATAGTTACTCGTATAATATGCTATTTATGCAGTAAACTTTTAGGAAAATTAATACAATCATTAGTATGGTACTAAATAAATTGACAAATATTATACTTATGAAGCAATTTATCCTTTAAAGAAAATTTACAATATTTGAATTAAAATGATACTGTCAACTTATATTTGCAATACATGTTCTAACATGTATAGGCAAAAGCATCTCTCATTGCTATATATCTGAAGACTCAGGTACTACAAATGCTTTAATTCAAATTCCACAGCATGCATATAAAATGAATGGGTCAGAATATGAACAGGAATGTGTTGTGGATATGTATTTTAGTGATTTGGAATGTTAACAGGCTTTGTTCTGTTATTAGAACTCATACTACTTTGTGCAGTAAGGGTCTGATGCCATTTCAAGTAACATCATGATTGTAGAGGATTTTGTAAATTTAGGTAGTAATGTGACTGAATTTTACTGTGCTATGTGTGAACCCTATTTCACCTCAGCCTCTGAATGGTTTTATGTATGTTGAAATTATTCATGCATTACTGTTTTTGATTCATACATGTTTGTTTGGTATAAATAGTGACATATTTTTGTACATCAAGAGAGTGAAAAACATTCTTAAAGAGATTGCTGGTTGGGCGAATTGATTACATGATATCACGTCACAGTTATGTTAGGAATGAATACACAATGAATGGGATGGGTGGGTATGTGACCAGGAATCTGATCTGTCCCTTATGGATATGAATATACTAAGGTCATTGTTTGTGCTATATACTGGAGTGATTGTTTGTGCTGTTTTCAGTTCAATTCAATTGTGTGGAGTGATGATGGCTTCAGCTCTGTTACTAGGACTCATACTAGTCTGTATTGGGTTGACAAGTAAGCCATTGATGCCATTTGAACATTTTCAGGTATAATTATGATTGTGTAGGTGGTATTGTGACACACTTTCAATGTACTAATGGAAGTGTGTGTGCTAGAGATACAGTGGAGTGTAACTGTACAACAAATACTGGAGCAATAGACTGGACCATCAGTTATAGAGTACTAGGATCCTGCAATCAGAGCTGGATACCTGTCACGAAAGTAAATTTGAATATATTTCATAATTCTTTTAAAGAATATGGATACAACTTCACTTATAATGAGTCTGATAATAGCTCAAGGCTCACTTTTCATTTGAATGCATCTGAGAGCATTAATGTTGTGTGCAAAAATGGAAATGTAAATGACAATAGAACTACAAATATCACAGATTCAGGTAAGAATTGAAGTAGTTTTAAAAGTAAATTATCCTTCAATAGGTTATAATGCAAAAGCTCCAACAAACTTAACAACAACCTTCAATGCAAGTGGAGTTACTTTAGAATGGGAGGACACTGAGAATAACTGTACTTCTACTGAGTATAATGTGACCATTTATGATAGTACATCAACCGGTGTATTGACCTATTATATTAACAAGACAGCCTTACTTATAAACTCAAATGAACTAAACACAACAGAAACCTATGCATACACTGTTAGAGGGTGGAATGGACAGCAAAGTAACATCAGTGAACCATTCACACTTGGTAGGGATAATATGTATAAATTAATAACATGCATTTGATTTTGATTTGTAGCTCCTATTGAAGTGATGAGTATTGAAATAAATAACAAATCTACTTGTGAGAATAATAGTTGCTGTGTTGATATTACACTGAATATAATACTGGTAAAATAAAGAATATGCCATAAATTTAGACTCATTCATGGTGTATATTAGGCAAAACCAGATCATACAGGGTTAAAGCATCCAAGTCTACAGCACTATAGCATATGTATATCTGCATACAACTCCAGTGCTAAATCATATAATATAACTAATTATAATAAATTAGAATGGAATGGATCATTAAAATACGATGAGACCTATCTTTTTATAATTACACCAATGAATAATTTCAGCACAGGAAAGCAAAGTATGTTGTGTGTGTAATAGTTTACGTATTGAGTGTTTTATATAGATAATTATACAATGACTACTGAATATCAATGTCAACCACCAAGAAATAATGGAAATGGTGGCTTAAGCCAAGGAGAAATTGCAGCAATTGTCATTGCAGTTATCATATTTACAGCTGTATTAATTATAATATTAGTAGCAATTTGCTGTAAAAGATATCAAAGACAGATATAGCTAAATCTATATAAATTATTTTATTTTATTAATTTTAGCTATTCTTATTAAACTAATAAATGCTACATGTCCTTCACTAATTGTAACATGAAAACTATTCCATTGCTACATCCAAGAGCTCATATACAAGATTTTAACTATTATCAGAACATGTATAATTTAAAAAAATTATTACATTAACTAGCTGTGTATTGCATACCAACGATTAAACTGTATAGTAATATTGATATGTTATAAGTACAAGTATGAAGCAGGTTTAGTATTTGTTGTGAATATATAATGAAATGATTGTGCTTTCAGTTCAGTTCAGTCACTGCTGGGATGATGATGGCTTCAGCTCTGTTATTAGGGCTCATACTAGTCTGTATTGGGTTGACAAGTAAGCCATTGATGCCATTTAAACAT